CTCAGCTTCCTGTAACCCCCACCTGCTGGGTTTAAGCAATTCTCCTGCCTCAACCTCCTCAGTAGCTGGGATTACAGGCATGCGCCACCATGCCCAGCTAATGTTTTTTGTATTTTTAGTAGAGACACGGTTTCACTATATTAGCCAGAATGGTCTTGATCTCCTGACCTCGTGATCCACCAGCCTCAGCTTCCCAAAGTGCTGGGATTACAACTTTTCTGTCCTTTTCAGCCTTCTTTTCACGGACACTGTCTACATCCTGTAAGGCCAACCAAAAATGGCATATTTTCCATTTAGCCTACACTGATCCCCATGACCGAAACTTCTCAGTCCTGCTTCATATTCACACTGTGTTTATACATCTTAGGTAGCACTGACCACTCTCCACCTCGGACAGATAGGCCACCTTGGATGCTGACGATGGCTGATTCAACCAATCTGTCTGGTCCCTTCCTCTCAGCATCCTGTGTGTTTCTCCCAAAGATGCACACTGACCAAAACATAAACCTTCCGAGAGAGGAGGCACTCTTTCATTAGGGATTTACAAACAGCTGAATTCCCCTTTCAAAATCCACAAACACTCTGCCCAGTGACTTAGATAGTTCTAGCCATATTCCCACTAATGAGTATACTCTTTGTGGAAATGGATCAGGTCTGATTCATCTTTGGACCTCTTACTGCAAACAACTGTATTTCTGAATGTAGTTAAATAAACATTAACTGAATTAAGAATGTCTTCTCTACTATTTATTTTTGAAGCAGTACAGTAGAGTATAGAAACATATACATATATATGTGTATATACACATATATGAATCCTCAAATTTGGAAAAACATTTTATTCTGCTATGCTCCACCTACCTTCCAAATTCTCCATTTGTTAGTTACTTCCCAATGTCTTACATGAATTCTCTCATATATCTACCTCCAAGTCCTGGCTGATAGCTTGCCACTCATGATCTACACACTATAAACTATAGTTTTTACTGTCATCTATGATCAGATCACAGACACAATGACTTTTCTCCTTGTTTTCTTCCTCATTTTTTTTTAATAGTTATAGAACTTAACAGTGGTGTTGGAAGAGTTTCAACAGAAGAGTTTAATTGTTCAATATTATATAAATTAGTAAAGTGGCTACAGCAAGGTTATTATGGGCCCAGGTAGTATTGGCTCAAAAGTCAGAAAGCTCTTGACCACTGCTGCATTGTCACCACAAGCTCACCATACACCAGCTTTTAAATAGACTATGGTTCGTTGGCTAACTTATCTGATGGTTTTGAAGCCCACATGAGGGAAGACTACTAAAATTTTTAAAATCTGATTCACCAAGGTTGGCCACCAAAAGACTGGGAGGCAGTGTGGCATACCAACAGAAGCTTGGTTTTCAGAATCAAAATACCTGTGTGCAAGTCCCATCTCAAACTATTTAATAACTATATGACTCTGGGTAATTTATTTGACTTCTCTGTGCCTCACAAGCCTCAGTTATAGAGTGAGCATAACAGGATACCTGCTCATAGGGTACTATGATGATAAAATAAGGTACTGAAAGTAAAATGCTGAAAATTTTCCTCACACATATAAATGTTAGCTCTTCTTACTATTATTATTATTATTATTGCATTGTCCTGAATCATAGATGGCAATAAAAAGGTACATGTTGAATAATGAATTTGGACTTTGCATCTAGGCTATGAGCTATAAATCCCATATCCCATTAAAAGTAACCAAGACTCTAGAGAAAGGCTGATTCCAGGTATGGACAGGAAATGCATTAAATGATCCTGGGACATGGTACTATTCCTAAAACCAAGGAAGCTCTCAAAACCTCATGGCTCATAACAAATGGAGACAGACACCACGTGGAAGAGGTTACAAGTGGTTGGAGGTGAAACAATATGAACATAAGAAGAATGATGACAATGTATTGAGAAACACATAACACATAAAAACATAATAAGTAATTTCATAATGATACTCTCCAAGAAAAGCACTATTACAACCTATAAAGGTTGCTAAGGCATCTGCTTATCATTCTGAAAACTTACAAATAAAGGCAAATTCTCAAACATGTGTCATGTATTTGTTGGGATGAAGGAAAGGTCTGTTTTAGAAAAATCATAGCTAGAAAGAGTAAAAATTGGAAATTGACTCTTTGCAACCCCTAATGCAATAATAGACTTTGGCAAAAACCTTTGATAGATAATAGATGAAAAGCTGATGGTGAACTTGATGATAGATGCATTGGGATGACAGTTCCTGAACCCACTGATGTATCTTAGCATCACTGAGAGTGAAATGGTTGATATCCTTTCCTGTGATGGCAACAGGATAGAAATACACAGCACTGCCAGTGTATCCGTTTTACCAAAAAAAAAAAAAAAAAAAAAGAAAGAAACCTAAATATAATTGAGTCCTTGTGTCTAAATAGCAGTTTACAAAAAAATATGGGCAATAAGAGAAATAATTTGGATACATGGTAAGAATCAGCCAAAATCAAAATATGGGAAATCCTATGGGTAAAGTAATCCAATTTCATCAATAAGTGGCCTGACAAAAGGGGATACTGTTCTAAATTAAGAGAGACTTAAGAACTAGGTCAACAAAAGGCAGTTGTGAACTTTGGATTCTGTCTTGAAAAACAATTAAAAAAAAAAGGTACATTTGAGACAACAGGAAAAAATGTTAAGTCATAATATGACTGAGATAATGGTATTTGGGTTTTTTTTTAATGTTATCTTTTATGGAAGCGTAATGAAGTATTTACAGACTAAGCGGTATGCTGTCTAAGATTTGTTTTAAAGTATTCCAGCAAAATAAAGAAAAAGGAGGAGGTTCCACTACCAGGAAGATGGGGTAGATGGGGTGAGGCAGGAGGAAACGGATGTGGCTCTGACGAGGGACCACAGGGGAGGCTTGTGGGGATAGAATGTTCTGTATCTTGACCACATCAAGGTCAATATCCTGGTTGTGATTTTGTACTACAACACTGAGGGGAAACTTTGGAAGGGTGCCAGTGATTCCTCAGTATTACTTCTTACAGCTGCATGTGAGTCTCAAAAGGAAAAGGTTAATTCACAAAATGAAAATAGGATGTGGCAGGAGATAGATGAATGGCAGAAAAGTTGGTGGCTATAGGATTCGTTATAATCTTTTCTCTTTCTTCATTTGCTTGAAAATTTCTATAAGAAAAACGGTTCCTTAAGGTTTAGAAAAGTAAACTTTGCCCTACACACTGGTATTATCTCTGATTTTCGTAACTGGTGTGTCCGCAGACTTTCAAATTCCCACACCACTAGGTTATTCTACACGTTCTTGCTAGCTGTTTCTTTCTAAAATACTATTTTATTTTACTCTATGATTCCTTTGCTTAAAAGGAACTCTGCTACTTCAGGATAAAGTTCACGGTTATTAAAAAAAAAAAAAATCCCTCCACAGTCAGGCCTGAGCAGTTGTGTGTTCATCTCCTATCTACTCTCTGCATAAACTCTGCACTTCAGTTAAACTAGACTCATAATTCCACGGATATAGTTTTGGACACAGTACCCGTGCATGTATGCCATTATCCTGCCTGCTACTCTCTCTCTCTCCTCTACCGACCTAAATATCACCCATTTTTACAAAGCAGAACAAAACCCATCTTCTTAATGAAGCTCTCCCTCTATAATAAGATTCGTAAGAGTAAGGATCATGTATTTTATTACAATGACTACTAGCCTTCCTCAGACAATCGAGTCTTTCAATGGAAAGCTGTGGATTTAACTGAATGAATGTTTAATATAAAACCTTGGAGAGATTACAGAATTTTAGAAAAAAATTTAGAAGTAGAAACGTTAAAGAGATTTAAAAATAAAAACTGGAATTCAGTACACTTGAATTTCAAATAGCAATACTATATTTAATTTGTTTTGTCACCTTGGGTAGCTCATTTAACATATCTTGGTATTTGGTTCTAAAATATAAAATGAAGTACTAGGCTCCTCATTTTTTAATATGTAGATACTATACTTGCCTCTGGAAAAAAATATCCCAAGGGTTTCCATAGACTATAATTTTATTCCTAAACATTACTCATCAACAGAGGCTAAACTTTATATAAAACACCCAAAGCAAAACAGTATCCCTGATCCACTAGTTTTTAAATAAACCTGAGTCAACGAGAATGAATTACATGATGAGTCTGCAGACCACAGGAAGTAGGAATACCATATCATGTAAAGGTATTGAATTTGACACATATTTCCTGAAGTGCCTGCACCCTAAGGGAGGTACAGTCTCTCTTCCCATAGCATTAAAAATCTGCCATCCCAGAATTTGGCGCCAACTGTCAAAGATGTACAGTACAAAGGCAGAAACATTTCATTTCAAAGATTATGACCTTGTCAAGAAACCACTAAGGGTTCCCTGAATACTGAAACAGAGACTCACAAGGACAGGAAGCGCACTGGGGAGAACACAGAAAGAGATTAGATATTAAGAGAATAAATTCTACTTTCCCTTAAGGAAAGAATGTTGCTCTCTAAGTAGGCCTGTGTATTCAGGAAGGTCATGACTCACAGTCTGCCTTCCAGGTTGGAAGTGGCAGGAATCTGAACCAAACCATGAAGCCTGTACAGTTTGCCCTGGCACAGACCCTCTGAAAATGCACAGGCTGGAAAGGAACACAGTTGTATAAGAATCGGCTATACCTACCACTAGTACTCAGTGAAACTTGGGAGCGCAGCTATCAACAAGAATATCATTAGCACATGAATGAGGAAGCAACATTCCCGCTCTAGAACTTTGATTTCATTAGGATAGGGAGGCTGGTTCCAGGAGAGAGCCCAGTGCGGGAAAGAGATGGGTCAATGGGATGAACTGTGAAAGCTACGCATAGGGCCTTGGGAATGAGTGAACAGAAGTCATAGAACCCAAAGACTAGTCTCGGGAGAAAAGCAAGAAGCAGCAGTTCATTTTTCTCAGCACTGGCCCAGCAGCACCAGAGTCCTGGCAGTTACCTGAGGTTTCTTCACCTTAATGATCCAAGTGGGCGGGACAATAACAGCAGCATGAGCCCCCAGGGAGCAGGGTTCCTCAATGTGATGCAGCATGAAGCAGGTCACCTTATTGTGAAACTGAAGAGAAAAATAGCCCAGTAAACAATTCTGGTCAAAGAGAAATGCTGCAGCAAGAAGGGATAAATATGCATACACGCGCGCGCGCACACACACACACACACACACTCTCATTGCATGCACAAAAACACATATGCATGCACACATGCACAGTGGGCACATACACACGGAGGACATGCTTTCCTCATCACCACCCAGCCTGCCCCAGGAGATTAGAGACCAGACTTTGAGTTTATTCCGGTTTACAAACTTATAACATTGATAACAAGAAATCGGGCTAGCAGGATGAAGCCTGCTAAAACTTTCTAATTGTTGAATGGAATATTTACATAAAAGTGTTAGAGTCTTGGAGAGTTCTATTAATCCTGATTTCACACAAAATTTTCGCACATATTTCCCTTGACCTGTGCTGGCCATGGATTTGGTTGATTTAAGGTAATGTTGAGAAGGAAATGAACAGGCAGAAAGGCAATGCCTACCACCTGCCTTTCCTTTTCCTATCATAGATACAAATCCTCCCAGGTTGTCTTTCCAGTTTAGAGAAGGCAGAAGAGAAGCATGATGTCTCTTCTACAGAGCTGAAAATTCCAGAGGTAACAAAGTACAAAGAGATTGCTTCTGTTGGATTTGTCTAGTGCTGCTAAAAAAAAAAAAATACAATGAGCCTATTACTCTTGGCAAGTCTAAAGTGATTTTTTTTTTGAAGGGAAGTGAATATAGGCTAGCAATCATAACAATACCACAGTATTAGGGTCTTAACTCTATATCCCAACAGTGACACTCGGACTGGTGACCTCAGACCAATCAAGCTTTCAACCATCTTTTGTGTGACTATAAAGTGACAGTGATGTGCAATAACACTCATTTTTCTAAAAAAGGAAACTAAAATCAGCATTACACAATAATTACAGGCTTTAAGTTTTAATCATAGTGATTTTTAAAAATGTAACTTAAGTTTGTTAGATTTACTTCACATAACTATATAATTTATCATTTTAAGTGGAGCAATTTTAAAAGTAAAAAGTATCACTGATAATCATCACATTGAAACAACAAAGACAAATTAGGACTGTCTCAAAAAAACTGGCAAATATGGCCACCCTAATTACATTACATAACATTAGAGAGGTTTTTGTCTTCATTTCTGCATGTCTTCAAGATCTGCTGTGATCTAGTGGCTAATTATTAATCAAGCCATTGTGTATAAAATAAAATAATTAATAATTCTGCCTGCCACCAGTTATTTGTGATCTGCAAACAAATATACCAGAAAATGTTATTAAGTTATTAACATTTGAATACCTTTTTTTTTTTTTTTCTTTTGAGACAGAGTCTTGCTCTGTCACCAGGCACCAGGCTGGAGTGCAGTGGCGTGATCTCAGCTCACTGCAACCTCTGCCTTCCAGGTTCAAGCAATTCTCCCGCCTCAGCCTCCAGGATAGCTGGAACTACAGGCGCACACCACCATGCCCAGATAATTTTTTTTTTTTAAATTTTAACAGAGACAGGGTTTCACCATGTTACCGAGGATGGTCTCGATCTCTTGACCTCATGATCTGCCTGCCTCGGCCTCCCAAAGTACTGGAATTACAGGCTTGAGCCACTGCGCCTGGCCTGAATAATTTTGTATTTTAAAAATACAAAATTGTTTTAAATTGCTCCTTTTTTTTTCTTGGCAATTCAAATAAACTCTCAAATGCATGACCACTGCCTTTCTAAAATGTTTGGGATCGAGGAGACTGCCAATGTCAAGCCTCTCAATGTATACTTGAGTGATCTCCACTCTAGAGACTCAGAGGTACATCCAAGATTACACAGCTTTTAAATGGTGGAATCAAAACTCCAACCCAGGAAACCCAGGTCCCAAAATATTCTTTCTCCTGCACCATTAAGGGTCACTTATTTGTTTCTTGGTTGGACATCAAATGTCCTAGAAGCAGTTGACCTGGACTGTTAAAACATATCACCCCTGTAATTTGTGTTCAAATCTTTTATATCTATCGTCCCTGCAAAAATCACCTTCTACAATGTGGGAAATTGGGAAATTCAAAGATAGGTGGAGCTGACCAAAGCTGTACCACCATGGTCAGGTGAAAGCTGTCCTTTGTCGTGATTCAGTGGACCATAGGTTAACAGAAAGAGCACACATGTTCAAGTGGAATTGAGTTTCCAAATTAATTGAACCTGGAGAGACCATCTCACCACAGCCTGGTGGCTGCACAAGGTGGGAGCAGATGCAGCCTGTCCTAGCACACCACTGCCCAGGAGGCTGCCCCACCAGGATAGGAAACCCAGGAGCAAAGGTAGTAGCACTGGGGAACCCTGGACTGCAAATGGAGATATTGCCTTGATGGTACAGAGTTTCATTCAAGAACTAGGATGGTCTTATATTTGTGCACACATTCTTGAACAGATGTGCAATAATTATTTGTGTAACAAGTAACTGAAAATAAATGAAAATGTCAGGAATAAAAAATATGTCAGGATCGTGATGCAGCAACACTGAGCTTTCCAGACCACTGCACTTCTAGCTAGTGACAGCAGGTTCTTCTGACATGTAGGGGGTAGGAATACTATTTGATTAAACTGCATGAACTACCAACATTTAAATGGTTTTCACCCATGAAATGTCAATTTCGCATGTTTCAACTAAATGAGTCTGTGCCAGCCCTACGGCCTGTGTGGCTAGTTTAGCATGATGTGTGTAGTGGTATGAGTTTTCTGTAAACCTTTAACCTCACCAAAACACCACAGCCTTTTCTTTGCAGGTCCCCTGTGCAAGGAAGGGATTATATATTCCAACTTATTCAAAAGAATAGGGAGATTGAGAGATTATAGCAGGCATCCGCAAACTTTTTCTATAAAGGCAGAGGGAGTCAATATTTTAGGCTTATGGGACCATCTGCCTCTGTTGCAATTACTCAGCTTTGCCACCGTAGCATGAAAGCACCTGTAGACAATATATAAATGCAAAAACAGCCACAGACAATATAGAAGTAACTGGGCATGGCTGCATTCCAATGAAACTTTATTTACAAAAATAGATGGCAGCCAGGCTTGACCTATGAGCTGTAGTGTGCCAATACCAGGGTTAGACTATACGTTATCCGGTAAAAGAAAGAACAGGTACACTGGCAAACAAATAAGAAAATGTAGCATCTGGTAGAGACAGAGGAATTAGGCTCCAAGTAAAGTGGGAAAAAAAGGTAGATGAAGAAAAGTAAATAGGGACATTACCATCAGATCCTAATGCATATATATGTTCAAATGTGAGAAAAAGCTACATTTCAATGAGCATACAGACAACATCCAAACCTAAAAAAGCATACAAGAACCACTCTTCTTATCCTCACACTTAGCCCCAAAATAAAAATTCATGCACATTAAAACCAGAAGAACCAGGATTCCTGTCCACCTGTGTTGGTGGGACACCTCTTATGTCGTACATGTCTTTGCTTCTAATGTTGCACCTTCCTACCATAGGAGGAGTTCTCAACAATACAGAGGCATGGGGTCGGGGGGGGTAATGTGATCTAGGAGTGAGAAGCCCTCAACTCTAGTCCCAGTATTAGAATTAGGGGAGGATTTTCTAGTCTTTGACTCCAAGCCTCAATGTATATAAAATACAGAAGTTAATTTCTCTCTCTAGTGTATCCCAGCTCATCTACACTATTGCTCCATAGCTTCAGTTTGTCTTTCTTACTCCAAGGGCCCTATATGAGAAAAGCAATACATTAAATTAGGAATGCCTTCTATTTACGGAAGGAACTCAAGTAATGACATAAGCATATTTTGACAAAACATGAGCCATTGCTTTATTTCATGTCAAACTTACCGCCTGCTTGCACCAGGAACAGCTGATAGCCACAATCTCTTTACTGTGGAAGGAGAACTTTTGCTGGAAGCCCTGGGATATTAGGACAAGAGACAGAGAATTTAAAACCACCTCAGTTACAGCACACATTTGCCCTCCTGAAGTTCAGTGAAGTGACTAAGACCAGAACTGTCACTGAAGGTGAGGAGAACTGCAAATGCCACATGGAGCACCACACTCTCCACTTTCTGCCTGCAGTGACTATGCCCGAAGCATTTTGAGTGTGAGAGAGAGGAGGGGCTGGTATTTCTTAGACCACAAACTACTCAAAGTCGGACACACCAAAAAAAGCTTTATGAAAAAATAAATGTAGTTCTGATATATTTTTATTATAAGCAAAGGAAAAGCCACTATTGGTTCACATGGTGCTGTATAACAATAATCATTCATCGCAGAGGTTCTGTACAACTTCATCACTTAAGAACCCAGAAAAAAAGAAATGAAATATCAGAGAGACAATGACTAGAAGTCAGGGTCTGGGAGAAGTCCAAGGGTATAGTAGTAAATTCAGCCACTTTCATAAGCCCCTTGAGATGTCTGCACTCAAAACAAGCAGCTTTTAATGTTTATTCTTTATCAGGAAGCAGCAATGAAATCAACGAAATGGTAAACCCAGTCCTCTTAAAGGAACAAGCTGAATTACTTTTCCATCAAGAATGGAGAAGGTGATTTTGGCTGCCGCTGTCCCTAAATAATGGCCAGAGAGAAGTATGTAGTATTGCTCAAAGAATTTTTTTAGCCTTCCCAAAGCTCATCCATTTCCCTCTGCCTGTGAAATTTAAACCCAAACAAAAATTTCAAAGGAACCAGAAAAAATGTTAAAATGGAGCTTTTGTAAGGTGATCAAAAGAAAACAGAAAGATGTAATAGCCAGGAAAGCTATCCAAGGCACTGTCTAAATAAATCTTGCTTAAGATGTACAGACAATTTTAAGTTGAAAATCAATTACCACATTATTAAATGATGTCCCAGTGGCATTTTTCCATGCCCATAATCCCTGCCCATCTGCAGTACTTTGTATGCCACTGGGCATTTTCTCCTTTTGAGCCTCTCTTCTCTCTTGATTTCCTAATACACCATTCCAGTTCTCTTCCGCCTCTCCAGTCATCTGTATGTGCAAAGAAGACCAGGACTGGTTTCACTATTTTTGCTCCAACCTCAAATACCACTTTCAGAGACATGATGTTAACATCAGATTCTCCTGGGTTTTAAAAAAATGTATCCATCAATATCTCATTCTCAAAAATCTAAGTGATATTTTCACTCCTTCTGCAGAAAAAAGTTAACATAGCAAGCCTGAGACTCCTTAGAAAGACTGCTTGCGGCCGGGGGTGATGGCTCACACCTGTAATCCCAGCACTTTGGGAAGCTGAAATGGGAGGATCACCTGAGGTCAGGGGTTCAAAACCAGCCTGGTCAATATGGTGAAACCCCATCTCTACTAAAAATACAAAACTTAGCTGGGTGTGGTGGCACGTGCCTATAATCCCAGCTACTCAGGAGGCTGAGTCAGGAGAATCACTTGAACCCGGGAGATGGAAGTGGCAGTGAACCGAGATTGTGCGACTGCCCTCCAGCCTGGCTGATAGAGCAAGATTCAGTCTCAAAAAATAATAATAATTAAAAAATACAAAGAAAAGAAAAGCTGCTTGCAAGTTTTGTCCTTGGTTGGCATCTGGGAACTTGGATTTCAGGAGAGTTTTCCAATTCCCAGCACAGTTAAGAGTGTCTCACTGGGCCTAAACTGTTTGCACAGGCTGGGCACAGTGCCTCATGCCTGTAACTCCAGCACTTTGGGATGCTGAGGTAGGCAGTTTGCTTGAGGCCAGGAGTTTGTGACAGGCCTAGGCAACAGAGTAAGACCTTATCTCTATATTAAAAATTAAAAAAAAAAAAAAGAAACTTTTTGCACAAACAATGTAGTTTATGCTGAGTATCTGCTGTCCCTCTGAAGGTCTGGAATTTTATTATGTGCAATGCAGAGGGTGCTTATGTGAAAAGACCTCAATAAAAACCCTGGACACTGAGTCTGTAATTCGACAGGTAGACAATATGACAATATTCCTTCCACATGTGTGTCACAGTACATTGCTGGAGGAATTAAGCGCATCCTGTGTGACTCTGCTGGGAGAGAACTCTTAGAAGCCTGTGCCTGGCCTCCTCCAGACTTTGCTCCATGAGCGCCTCCCTTTGCTGATTTCACTTTGTATCTTTGTGTTGTAATAAACTATAGATGTTAGCACTATAGGCTGAGTCCTGTGAGTCCTCCTAGTGAATCACTGAACCTGGGGTGGTCTTAAGGACCCCTGATATGCTCCTCTTCTCCCAGATAATGACTCTTGCTATTTCTTCTTCTGTCAATGACAGTATCTTTTCCCCAAGAGAAAAAGTGCATGTGTCACACACACACATGGACTTAAGCACTGCATCAGATTTGATGTCCATGTGTTTACTATTGCAGGGCCAGCAACAGCCCCCACAGCCCCCAGCACCTGAGAGTTGCAACTGCCTAACGGGAATAGCTTACAAGAGGACACAGAGTCTAGGGAGCCAAAGGGTTAGGTATGCAGGTCTTTTCAAAGATGATGCCAAACTGTTCAATATGAAATAAGATGGCACCAAAACTGCAGAAATGACTTCACATTGCAGCCATTTGAAAACGTCCTCATAATCCCCCAAGCCATTTTTCAGAGAACAAAAAAGAGATAGATAAAATTCCTCTTGAGAGCTACAGCTACACTTTGTGACTACTGTGTGAAGAAAGAAAAGAGCAGCAGAAGCTAGGGTATGACCCAAGTGTCTCTGTCCAGCTCAGTATTACACTCTGCTGATGGTCGCCTCCCATCTGGATTTTTGCTCCATTTTCTAAGTTGTCCCTTCACTGATAGTCTGCTTCTCCCTTTATTCCTCACTCTATCCTGGGCACTGCCACCAGGTAAAATGATGCTTTCTAAGTTTCTGCCACCCATTCAAAATACTTAAATGACACTTCATTCCTTACAGATTAACAGAATAAACTCTTCATGCCACCCATAATCTTTCCATCAATTTTTCAACATCTGTCTTCCACTTTGTATTATAAATTCCCGTCCATAATGAGACAGGTCTACTTATATCCACAATATACTTTATTCTTTCATAGATCTTTTATTTATTTATTTTTGGCTCTTTTCTCATTCTCAACATACCTTCTAGAAACCTACCCCCATTTCATAGGCAGTATCTAAATGTTGCTTCCACTAAAAAATCTACAAGAGTCTTCCAAAATCCCCTCAACTCACCGTGATCTCTCCTCATATAGGCCTTGCCATCTATATCTACCCTTGCCATTGTAAATTAGCTGTCCTGTGTGGCTGCTTATTTTGTGTGCACATGTATTATCTCTCCAAAGGAATTATAAGCTCTTTTAAGGGAGTCAGTCCTTGTATAGTTCTTAGCAACTTGGCATAGTTCTTTGAACATCATAGGCATGTCATGATATTTTCTAATTAATTGAACAAAAAGTTGCTGCTACTCTCTCATGATCTAATTACAAACTTCATGCTATTCAGACATTATAAGCCTTACCCAAGCCACCTGAAAATATGTCTCCTCACAGCATCCTTCCAGGCAAAAAAACTAACCACTACAGGCTGGGCACGGTGACTCGTGCCTGTCATCCCAGCACTTTGGGAGGCTGAGGTGTGCGGATCACAAGGTCAGGAGTTCAAGACCAGCCTAGCCAATATGGTGAAAACCCGTCTTTACTAAAAATACAAAAATTAGCTGGGCATGGTGATGGGCACGTGTAGTTCCCAACTACTTGGGAGGCTGAGGCAGGAGAATCACTTGAACCCGGGAGGCAGGGGTTGCAGTGAGCCAAGATTACACCACTATATTCCAGCCTGGGCAACAGAGTGAGACTCTGTCTGAAAACAAAACAAAACAAAAAACCTAAACCCTACAGACACTGCAGAGATGGTACGATTGTAATATTCATTTTTAAGTCTACAATACTGAAATGCTGCATGGCTAAAAATCAATACAGTAGAATTCATGGCATGACAGCAGTAGCAGCCATAACTAGAGGTCTGCTAAATGTTATGGTTTTAAACGTATAATTGTAAGTCTTAAATGCAGGACACCATTCCCTCCACTTAGATATCAGATGGCTGTGCATCAAACAGAAGCTGAAGAGAGATGGCAAAGCTCAGAATCGTTCTTGGATCTTCTTGTTGGCTGAGTGATCTTAGGCAAATCCTTTAACTCTTCTAACTTCCTCTTTCATGTGAAAATGGGAATAATAATACAAACCTCTCCTATAACACTAAGTGGTTATAAGCATCAAATGAGGCCATGCGTTTAAAAGTCTTTAAAACACTTTACTTATTTGCGTATTTAATGTGTTTTTATATAAAACTAAGGAGTGCTTTTATTGCCAAGATCTATCAACAGGAACCTCTTCTACCATCTTGCTGAGAAAGCTTTCTAGTGTCTAATATGTAACTACGTGATGCTCTACTAATGATACAGGGTGAGTGTATTCAGCCCCACCTCACTACTAAATATTAGCCCTCAGGCTTCTGGGCGAGAACAGATACAATTCACTGTGGTACTGACAGGCAGAGTAATACCAGAAACAAACAACAAGGCCAATCACGATTGGGGCACTGGGTACTATGCTTATGCAGTATTGTAGAGGGACCCTGGGCAATGAGCCGGGGGGTAATCGACTCTGTGCTTTGTTTTGGATTCTGGTCTCACAGACTCACAGCAACCATGGCTTCAGGCTTATCATCCAACGCAGAGACGTAAATAGAAGCACATCAGAGCCTTCATGGATCAAGTTCCCATAAACCACCTGCTATGGGAAGACATTGGCCAGGCTCTCAGCATGCCAAAAGAACCAGATTCCAAATTACTCATTTTTAAATGTTGGCCCAAATCTGCTATTATGGTACTGACAGATGCCCTGACTGAAGTTCAACTGATTCTATGATTTTTAAAGAGCTGTTTAGTTCAGCACTGTCAAAGAGGAAAATAAGGATGGGAGG